GGGTTCGCTGAAAACTCACTAGGGTCAATTTGTTAACATTATTTTCCATGAATCGCAAGATCGTGGCCTAAGTCCCTTCGGTCCTGCCAAAGTTGGTCTGCTTACATTTCGAAACGATTTCTCCGATTTTCATTCCAGGCTTTCTTTGTTGGCAAAAATTCTTATGACGATCTTATCCAGCTACGCCTAATAGTCGTCTCAAAATCACATATGCCAGCGCTCTTTCTCCGGAGAGTTACTTGAAATAAATTACCTTATTTTATTCAAGAGTATGCGACCGTTTTTAATAACCCTTAAGTCTCAGTGGTAATTATATGCACCATATACTTTAACGGTAAAAAAAATCTACATTTCCCTCACACAATGAATTTATGTGCTCAAAATAAACAACATTAACAAATGGATTGTTGCTATAAAGACGTTTTTATTTAGGTACTAACTGTATATTTAAATATTATTTAGAAGAACTGATAGACTAATCTAAAATGTCGTTCTAAGTAAATCGTTGTACACCATTGCACATTCCTAGTATTTGCTTGGAGCACTCAGAAAAACCAGCTAATAATTAAAAAAAACCCTCCGACAAACACGTTCTAGTCGCATTTCCACATTACCTGCAAAGTACAGAACACCTAAATAGATTGTCCACGCATTCATCTTTGTGTCTAGTCACCTCGATTTGACGTCTGCGCATTTGCTTACAGAATACGAATTATCAGTAGACTGAAATATGCACGTAGCCTTCGGGCGACGATTGTTAGAATTTGTGCCTCTGGAAGATGCCGATCGAAAGTCGAAAGTCACACACAACTCCTCCGTACTTGTAATTATACGGGTTTCTGTGACGCCACGATGTACAACACACACAATCGCATTTATGGAGTAAACATTCGCTAACTTTGATTTTATGGTACAATCTTCTAAAACAAGAGACTAGCGCAGAGCAACAATAAGCCTTAGACTCATCGTTGCCAGCTAAATATCCATATCTTTGTCATCCCAGTGCAGAAAAGCTGAAAGATCGAAGTTGTAATTCAATAGAAATTTCGTGGTTGTAAAATTTAATTTTATGTGCAATGCATGAACTGACAACATTACTTTCCGTAAATCATACCGCGGATTATTATTACTTGTGGTTTATTTAACGACGCTAATCGTAGCTCGAGATGCACAACATCGAATTATATTACGATTAATAAGCTGGAAGGAATTTGAGAGAAAACGGTCGTGGTCTAATTCAAGGAAAAATTACGGAACGCTCCTCGAAGGACTGTGGAAAACCACGAAAACCTATCAGGATTGTCGCTGTCCTATACAAACGAAAATGCTTTGTGATCAATGACGTAACTATTCGTTATAGGTTCAACTACTGTTAAATAAACACTCACTGCTGTTGCCTGGTATCCAGATATCACTTAAGAGACGCGTTATCGGCCGCACTGTTGACGATAAGGACATCTCTGAAAGAAACACAGAATAATACGAAGTGAGAAGAAAATTATTAGCATCCATTCCACAATACTTCGTCAGGGTATCTGCTCAGCATGATAAAGGAAAAACTCTGCATCGGGGGGGGGGGGCATAAGCAAGCCATTTGTAGCGCAGACGAATTTATTTATGCGATAATTTACGTTCTACGAACCTACGCCAGTGAACTTGATCGTGTGTAATAGTTACAAAAGTACAGTCGAGCGGCGATATTTAACAGCTACGCGGCACCCACTGGAAAGAGACATATTCTTGGTACTTGCGATGGAATGAGGCGGCAGCGGAATTATACAGACGGAGGAACACCGAAATGATCAAAGAATAAACATGCCCCAGTGCCACCACAAGAACCACATGCACTGAAGATGACAGACTTTTCACATGAGCTTACTCCTTCCATCATCAGGGCGAGGAGGCATACACACGCTTCGTACGAGGTAACACGAAATGATAATTTTCAAACACATCACCCAGTAATTTAATGGGTTTTTTAATTGAAGCACTTCGATAATTCTTCAGGTTTCGTGGGCAGCCGTGTTTCAGGCGAGCCTTTTCATAAAATATCCACTTAAAATCACGGCTTTCTTTACTCTGGTAAGGATCCAAAGACTGAACAACAAAAGGAGGGCCGCGAAATCCGTCTTATGATTCATCTACAGCTAATTCAAACACGTAGATCTATGGACCTCTTTTACACGTTTAATCGAGAAGCACGAACTATGAAAGGAATCGTAACCAGAACAAAGAAGTCATATAACGAGAGAACGAAATTAATGCTGTACAGTCAGACAGTAAGAAACACTTGTATGTAATAACCTGCCTTAACTGCTGATATAGCTGCAGGTCTGCTACAAAGCGAGCTGGGTGATCTTCAAGAATTAAAAGAAGGTAAAACTCTCGATTTATGTATTCTGTTATGA